GCCTTACTACTAGGAGCAAGAACGCTACTAGGGGCTCCTGGCCTTACTACTAGGAGCAAGGACGCTACTAGGGGCTCCTGGCATCGCTACTAGGACGCTACTAGAAGCTCCTGGCCCCCGGAACAACTCCGAAACGTTGCGTTGTTTTTTACGATGCCGCAATTGAGGGCCTATTCGGCGGGGGAATGGTTGGACAGCATGGGGCAAAGTGATCTTCCCTTAACTCAAGCAACCAAAACCACAGCCACAGTTGAGAACCCCAAAATATTCAAAACGGACCAACATTGACTCAATCATGTCCCAAAAAACAGCATAGCTGCATATAGCTGCAGCTCCACTATATCCTTTTGTAAAAGCAAATCACCAAAACTTTGTTGTCCTCATCCACTTGCTTGATTGAAAAAACCCTCTGGCCCATCTATATATCGCATGACTTCACATGACACATCCGTGTCTTCTCACAAATAGATGTTCCAAGTCTCCATGAGCCCATTGATGAAACTGGCCATGCCATGAGGCAGATCCTCTGTTGTTGGGCAGCTGTGGTCCTCCCAGCGCAGCGTTTCACTGGTGAACAAAGGCATGATCGGACTCGTTGGTTCAGTGCAGCTCATCCGCGAAAAAAGTCGACCGCTTCGTGCCAAATGGTTCTCTCAACGGGACGGGTTTTGGTGGTTATATATATATATATATCCCAGACACTCCATGGGACTGCCATATATGCCGATCAGTTGGGGTGGTGCCAGGGGGGGTCAATGGGGCGGCAGTCCTATGGCAGTCCCATGGAGTGAGTGTCTGGGATATAGTAATCTCTCAAATGAATGGACTCGTCGATCGGATGGACTTGGTGATTCGGAATCCTCTTTCTATCTCTTTTTGTTTTTGTTGGAATCTTCCGTCTAAAACACCTCGCGTTCAGCGCGAAACAAGGGGAAGTTGACACATGTTCCGTGTGAGCAGGCCGTGCGGTCACCGAACTGGTCCCAGGTCCTTCTGCTGATTCGCCGGATACCTCCCAGAATCTGGCACCTCACGTGGCGCATGCCGCGGCAGGTGGCGACAAGATCGTGTCAGATGTGTCTCTGTGTGTGCATAAGTGAGGGACAGTCACGGTCAACATTGATCGCGTGGCTGAAGGTCTTCAGGGATTGAGTGGCTGTGGTGTTCCATGCCAACATGTGTCTTTTCGGTGAGACATGTAATGGAGCATGTTTGTTTCTTTCAAGCAACAGACTGCATTTTGAGACCCTGCCTCAACTGTTTAGACTTATTGATTCTGGCCCAGAAGGGGGAGCTGCTCAGCCTTGGACTCCTTCCCCCACAGGGAGGTTCACCTTTCCGTGCACCCAACACGTTTTGACAGCGAGCCACCATGAGATCTCATGTAGACTCTTGATGAATACCCACCCCATTTCAATTGAAACACACTTCATATGGGCATATCATATGGGGTGGTTTATTAATCAAGAGTCTAGTCTAGATTAGTGCTCACCATCCTCCCTTCCATTCCACCGAGCTGCGCAAATGGGGTTCTTGTCTTCAGAGGCACAGTTCAGCATGCCAACCTCATTAATGATGGCACCCTTGACGAAGGGGTATTGCCTCAGGAAAGAGATCTTGCGTGACACACTGACACCAGTGCTGGCGAGATGGTCTGTGGTCCTTGCTGATGAATCCTGCACCGATGAGTTGGATGGCTCATCTTTCCACACCGATCCACTGTGGATAGTGGATTGACTCTTCGCAAATCCGCAGAGAGTTGCACTATGTTGCGCTCAGCAACCTTGCTCTGCAGCTTGCAACACTAGAGTCACTCCCCTAGTAGTGTCCTTGCTCCTAGTAGTAGGGCCAGGAGCCCCTAGTAGCTTCTTGCTCCTAGTAGCAGGGCCAGGAGCCCCTAGTAGTAGGGCCAGGAGCCCCTAGTAGCTTCCTTGCTCCTAGTAGTAGGGGTTCCACAATCTTTTCAAAGGTGGTTGGAAGCGGCACATTATACAATACAATGAGGACCCTGATAGAATGGTCGAAGCATCCCCCCGAATTCTGCCCTACATCAACTCCACCACCTCCAGCAGCCTACAACACCCAATCCAATCCCCAAGACGTGAAATCCCAAGACCCAACCTAATTACTGGCGATGGCCTCTAACCAGCCTGTCCCCGAGACTGCGAGACCCCCCGGATCTTCCAAGCAGCTCCATGATTCGCGCTGTGGCGTCCAAACGCTCTTGCAAGGTCTCATAGCCACCGGTGCCCTCACCCCCGCGAGCCCAGCATTGGGTGAGGACACATCAAACAGCTACATGAACGGTGTGGCCATATGAGCTGTTCCGGAGGGCTTGGGGCAACGACATGATGCGCCCAAAGCACCACCACAGAGATCACACTTCTCAAGCGTTCAAAAAAAACGACATTGAGAGGCAGGGGTCAAAAAGGTCGAATCGCTGGTCCAATAGCTCAATTCTAGGATTCCAAAGAATCTACGGCTCCGAATCGGTGGACTTTCTGGGATTGAAAACCAACCGCCTCCGGCATGCAGTCATAGGCATAGAAGTGAAAGCCCACGTAGACCGGGCAACCGCAGCTGGCCTGAGCAGGTCCAGTGCACCGCACTGGAGCTGGCTCCAGGGGCCCTGAACCACTGCGGAGAGGGTTTGGAGGACTCATCCCGGCCCATCCCTCCTGCACGCTGTATAGCTCCCAATACATGGTGCAAGTAACACCCGCTGCATTTGCCTCCCGGTCCAAGTCACATCCTGGCAGCTGCATTGACCCCCACTGCAGCCGCAGGCGTGCTCAATGAAAGACTTGGCCTGGGCATGGACTTGGCGTTCAACAACATGCTGCAAACAGGTTGCGTTTCGTGGGGTGCTCCCGCGAAGGAGGAAAACGACGACGACGTCGTCGAGGACGAGGACGAGGATGACGAGGATGGTGATGGCTTTGGTGACGACAATGATGACGATTACAGATTACAGTAATGTGCTTTATATATATATAATAATTGCACATCTTTGGCTTATAGAGGTCAACTGCTCCAGGACACAAGGAATGTAGAATAAAACAGTAATACAGTATGACTCAGTCTCAGTGCTTGAAATACAGCGCTACGTTTGTGTTGAGCTGAATGAAGCTTGGCATTGGAAATTGCAAACTAACAAAATTATGCAAACATATAAACATATAGGAAAATCAATAGGACACAAATTAGGACAAACATTAGAAAAAAGGACAACACATAGGGAATAATAGGACACACAAATCTAGAAAGCCCAAAGCAAATAGCCAAGCAAGAAGAAAAACTAGAAGCAAGGATGCCGCAATAAGGATCACAAGAAACGAATCAAACATCTGCAGAGGTAAGGCGAACTAAACAATCAACAGTGTCCAAGGGAGGATGGTGGGGAGGGGGTTCGAGGTGCGGAGGGGTCGGGGTGGAGGCGCCGGGGGGTGGTCAGGGCGGGGGTCGATTTTTTTCCTAGTATACTAGTATTTGTAATATATTGTCCTATGTTATTCATCTTTGTTCGACCTTTTTGCTAGTTTTGCAGTTTTGGGAAAGGTGAGCTGCTTTCGGGTCAGACCGGGTCCAGACCGGCAATGGAGTCCTTTGGGGGGTCCTTGCTGGCCTGGACCCCTAGATTCTGTCGTGGCCGACCGCTCCCACCCCCCACCCAATTCTGCCAGGACCAAGCTCCTGAGCTCTTTGGTCATGGCTGGGTTTCCTTGTTTTTCCTTTCTGGCTGCTTCTTTTGTTTCATCCATGTTGTCTTTTTCAATGTTTTTTCCGATTGTGGTTCCTTTGTTTGTTCATGTTGTTCTATTTTTGTTCCTATTTTGGATGCGAACTAGTTCCTATTGTGTTTCCTGATACAGTATTATTTTTGGACACACCCAGTGGAAGCTTCATTTCCTCAACACAACGCCAAGTTTCATTGCTCTCTCTCTCTCTCACTCTCAATTCAGCTGCAAATTCCAATTTCCGCCGCACCTTGCCCTTCTCAGCTGTTTATAGCTACATCTTGTCCACACAATCACACAGCTCTGATAGGGACTTAACGACAAGGTTGAGCACAAAAAAATGTTTTATGCGAGTAAACCTCGATGCCGTATTCCGATTCATTGACCCTCCCTGCTTCACTATGAATGTTCCTTCTGCCTTCTGTATTCATTGGCCGCAGCCAGTATCTTCTCAAATTCCTATAACATCGTTTAACTTGGGGTGTGCTCCAGATACACCCGCAAAGCTCGTTGCGTACGAAGCCCCTTCTACAACAAGTTTCAGAACATCATGGAACTGGTCAAGGACTGAGAGTCTTGGACTCTTCTGAACTGAAATCCCAAACAACTGGCCAAACAGAATTTGGGACCGAAGACGGGATGTTCACCCGTTCACCTGGTGAGTCCGTGAGTCCTGACTTCCTTCCGCCACTTGCGAGCGACGACCCTTCGGCCACCGGCGACCAAGAGGCATAGTCCAAATTCTCGGCCACCAAGGGAGTCGACAAGTACTTGTATCCCTGCCACGGTCAGGTGCGATCAGATCGGTACAGTGAGGCCACCGATGGGAAACTCCTAGATTACCGTTTGTGCAAACCGATGTCAGACGTCGAGTCTCTTTCTTGCCTCCTTTTCGTGCAAATGGCGGAAACATCGAGAAAACCGACGCACACATTCAGACAGGATCTATATAGCCTCTACTGAATTATCTCTGTTTCCAGCCAAAAATGTCTTCTATCAAGGGCTTGGGCCGTCTCCTCCAGGCATTCGTGGAGCCTTGGATTCGGGTCTTCTGTCCATGACCCCAGGAGACTTCTTAGCCCCAACTCCTCATGGCCCTTGGAGACTGCTTTCGTGAGGCAACACACTGGACTCATGACCGGACTCATGCTGTAGTAGGTTCTTCTCATCTGTGGTGAGGCAAACACACCTGTGGGTCTCTGGGCGGGGATCTGGCAAATGCGTTTTACATAATTTACTATCATCACACACCCTGAAACTTCAGGACCAATGGACCAGTATGGACCGGTCGTCCACCTTGGCATAGGCCAGTTGAGCAGTCTGCTTCCAGTTCTGCATCACAGTGCCCACACAGCCCGGGTCCTGCGCAAACACGGCCCGGCTCCACCCAAAACTGGACACGGCTCTACCGGTGGAGTTGTTTGGAAGCTTTCAGTGGCAGGTGGTGAACTGTTGAACCAGTCGCAGAAGAAACCGTACTTCAATCATGCCCACATCATAAAGTATCTTGAAACAAGTATCAAACAATGTTGACATCTTACAAAGAAGTCACCGTTCAGTTCGACCATGCTATCCCGACGGCCAAAGCCTGCAACTCTCAAATGGTGATTTATGGTGATTTCATCATGAAGACTTGCATGGGTTGTTGATACCCTCCCAGCTGATGTTGGACACACACACCCACCCACACACACACACACTTATAGAAATGCGTACGGATGCGGTGCGGTTTGCCACACGCCAGCCTAAGTGAAAAACATTGAAACACTTAAGAAACCAGGAGGCGACAGGTAGTAGGTTGGAGGCCATCGCTCTTAGGTAGGAGGCAACGCGACTAGGGTGGAGGTCGTCGCAATTAGGTGGAGGCCATTGCAACAAGGTGGGAGGCGATGGAGTAGACAAGATAGTTCCAAAGGTTTCATACATCGCGAGTAGATTGGAGGCAGCGCAAGTAGGTTGGAGGCCGTCAAAAGGTAGGAGGCCATCGCACGAAGGTAGGAGGTCATCACAGCTAGGTTCGAGGCCGTCGCAACTAGGTAGGAGGCCATCGCAAGTAGGTGAGTAAACAAGACAATTCCAAAGTTTCACACATTCAACTCCAAAGTTTCGCACATTCAAGAAAAACGTTTGACACAAGTACAAATTTCAGCAGGTACATGGAGGTGATCAGTCTCCGCTTCCCCCATCGTGGAACAGCTTCGTTGGCACAGGTATCCACTATGGGCCTGTGCCCCCTGCTGAAAAAGAAATACAAAACAAATCCATCAGGGCCCCTCTAACTCCAAGGGTTACGCACATACACGCCTCCCCGAGGGGCGCAGCAAGGACAAAAAGATGAAGACATGAAGAGAGCACAAGACAGGATAAAAGTGTGCGTGGTTGCGATGAAAAGGAGCCAACTGCACAGGGACAAACGATGAAACCCACCTCATTATCAAACCTGGGCGACCTGAAACCTGCGTTTTAAGTACATGTAGATGTGCACGTACACACTAAGGCCAGGACAGATGACACGAAAGAAAAAAGGAGAAACATGTGTGTGAAGGGGAAACAAGATGAAAAAAGGAAACCAAATGAAGGGGACAGAAACCGATGAATCCAAACCTCATTGTGTAAAGCCTCGTTTGTATGTCGCGCGCGAGGGAGGGAGGGGTAGGGAGAGATGTAAAGAAAGGAAAAGAGAACGTGTTCCCAGCTACGACACAAGCGTCCAAGGACACACCAAGAGAAGGGTTCCCAGCAGAGGCCTCGGCTGGCCTTACACGCTTACGTGGGAGCCTTGGCTGGCCTCACGTGGAGGCGTTGGCTGGCCTTACGTGGAAGGTTGGGTGGTTACGTGAAGGTTTTTTCTTGCTATGCTATTTTACCGATTTTCACCCTTATTTTACCGATTTTGCTGGGCGTTGTGTCTGTCGCATGACATCCTGTCAGTCATCATCCGCTATCCTGTCGCCTTAAAGGAAAGGGGGGGGGCAGGGCGGCGCAATCATATTAGTGGCAATATTAATGGGTTTGCCAAGGACCCCCAAGGACGAGCAAGGACCCTGCTTTGTGGTCCTTGCTTGGGCCTTGGGCGGTTTTTGGCCGCCAGGACTCGTTTGCAAAGTCCTGGGCCCAACCCAATGCCAATCATTGACACAAGGGTATTAAGATAGGACTGGACAGATCAGTCAGTGAAAGTTAATGCGATTTGTGTGCACACTTTGTTCACACTTGCGATGTGGAATGGCTTCAAAACCCAAGCCGTCCTGACAGCCATTTTGATTGATTGCCCTTTACTGATTGCGTTGCCATGGCTTCTGGGGCGTCAGTGCCTCCTGCCAAGAAGTTGAAGTTTGACAAGTACCAGTGTGGCATTCGGAGCATGCCTTGTGGCCTCCCAGACCAATTCAGGGGAGAGAAGGCGACAGATAGCCTGGAATAGCAAATGCGATTCCTGCACTGGCAGAGTGCTTGCGACAGCCTGCAGCCTGGGCAAAAACATTACCTGGGCCAGGCAGACAATGACAATGCTAGTAAAATCAGAGTGGATGCGCCGATTTTTAACACACAAAAAGCTATAGACAGATGCTTTAAGAAATTTAACGAGACAGTAAAAACGGCCTCAGCGAGGCTCTGCTGCATTTTGAACCACCGTTTTGGCAACATTTTGACATTGATTGATATGACACTGGACACGTTCAGGTCTCAAGCCTCGTGTTTTCAGTCAGTGTCAAGTTGCAGCTGCTTTCAGGGTCTCGAACCTCGTCATGTTTTCAGCCAGTGGTTGAGCTGCAGCTGTCTCGAGCCTCGTGTTTTCAGTCAGGGTCGAGCTGCAGCTGCTTTCGGGGGTCTCGAGCCTTGCGTCTTCTGCAGCTGCTTTCAAAGGTCTCGAGCCGCAGTCAGTGTCGAGCAAGGTCTCGTCAGGTTTGTGCCTTGAACTTGCAATGGGCTGGCGTTGGGTGTGGAACAGGTCCAACAGCAGCTCCGCTGGCGGAAGCGGAAGCGGGCGAAGGTTGCCCCGCCTCCGAAACCAGCTGCGCCCACGCAAAAGGCTAAGGGCAAAGCGAAGGCTAAGGCTAAGGCCATTAATGTTCCTGCTGGGGTGACACTGGGCTGCGGAAGATGCAGACAGTCATTAGTGGGTTGCCGGCAATGCCGCGCCAGGGCTGGCATGACTTTTGATCCTGTGTCTCAAACGTGGAACTAGCGGAATTCCACATACGAGCGGATTTTTCTTCTGTGAGAAAAAGAACCGTAAGCTTTCCCAGCGCATCCTCCCTTGTTGACAATTGATAGAGCGGTGATTCATGTGTGGTATGTGCTGACTTTGAACTGTCCTTGTTGCTATGCAAGTTTGGGTTCAAATAACTGTTATAATGAACATATCATCTGGATCCGAATGTGCCACTCCCTCCGAGTGTGGGAATGACGGCGAAACCGTTGAATCTATACAAAAATGCGGCGAAGTTGGCCAACTTTGCTGCATCGTGGTAGTTAAAACTTTGACTACCACAATGCGGCGAAATTGATCTCCGACAGCCAGTCACGCCAGACAGTCAGCACTCTTTCCTATCGCTTATCCAATTGCTGGTTGAGGGCAATAAGCAAAGCGTCACACAGTTCGGCCGGATACTGTTCACAATGTTTTGAAAGTTTATATGGCCCCTCTGAGCCTTGAATGGTCTTGTGGGGGCCACAGCATTGACAATAAACATGGTCAAAGGCAGAAGCAACAATGGAAGAATTTGTCAAAAGCCTTGTGCTTTTCCGTATTGGCAAACCACTAATGGGCGCCCTGAGATTGAATCTGCATTGGTGAAATGCAACTAGATACGCACTTGGCATGGCAATCAGAGCTTGGACATCTGGAAGCCTCCAGCTTGAAGCGCCAGTGGGATGCTCCAGTATAAAATAACCGCCGGTGTCTATCATGAACCGAGCCACATCCAGGGCAAATTTCAGCAAAACCATGGCCTCTTGCCACCTTGCTTTGACAACCGCAGGATCCATTCTCGCCCAGTTGGTGTTCATCAACTGGGAGAACATGGCGCTGCGGGGTCGTCTTGCCCACAGATAGGTCATGATTTCTTGCCTCTTCTCTGGCAAAAACAAATCAAAACCAGTCAGTATGTCGACAGACATGGAAGCTACCATGCCAAGATGCAGCGCTGAGATTCTGGGAATCAACCTGGGGCGGCTGAATATCTCGATAAAGTCATCCCTGCGCGCGCCAGGCTTTTTGTCGTCCAAGTCGTCCACGATAATGTCTGATTCCGAGCCCTCATTGAAATAGATGTCCTCGTCGTCAACGCTGATACAGTAGCCCCTGAATCGGAGTCCACATAGAGAATTTCAATTTGTTCTGCAGCAAGGCCATCTGGGCTGGCCACATTGTGGTAGTCAAAATTTTAACTACCACGATGCAGCAGATCCTGCGTTTTCATGCGGATTTGCAGCAAAGTTGGCCAACTTCGCCGCATTGTGGTACTCAAAATTTTAACTACCACGATGCAGCAGATCTGGTCCACCAACGTTCGCAAACCATCAATTTTGCAGCAAAGTTGGCCAACTTCGCCGCAAAATTTTCTACAGTAGTAAGGTTGGCACGGGTCAACCTTAACTTTTTGGGATCTGAAAATGTCCAAAAATGCGCTGTTTCAATTTGTATACCAGGCCCGATTTGCAGCAAAGTTGGCCAGCTTCGCCGCAAAATTTTC